GAAAATATATTTCCAGATACGCCACTCCATTCTGATGTGTCAGTTTTGATACGTACCACGTCTCTCTATTCGCCGACCAGCCAGCCTGCCTCAGCGACTCAGCAAGCCTCACAATAACTATGATGAATGTAGTGTCCACAGGGACAAACCAGCCATTTGACACTTCATCCCCCTTGATGCATTAGCTGCTAATATCCGTGGATTCATGGCGGGCTGTTTGAAGCCTTGTGATTTGCTCTCCCCTGAGCATAGGTGACTGTAATCACCTTACAAATGGCGACGTCTTACTTCAAATGCATTTGTTAGTGGGAACAGGCTTGGGGGGGATCAGACACAACATCTGTGCTGCTGATTAGGAAAACTGACTCTGCAGAACCCACCGGGCCTTCAAACCTATCTATGAATATCCTCTCCAACTCAAATCGCACTGAGGACGGTTAAAGGAAACTGGGTCATGGGTGTGTTTCTGATCCTTTGACTGCAAGTCCGAAATCTGTTTTTCTCTAGGCTAGAAAATTTGATTTGCAATACACTTTATGTGCTTGAGCAAAGAGGAGGGTCAGTGTCCATTCAAAGCAGATGAAGCGGCTGGTCTTGGATGGGACTGCTCTGTGTAGCCCAGGGGGGCAGCTGGGGTTACTGATGAATGTGAGAGATAGAATCCCTGCCATGAAATGAAAGGGATCATACACACATACATAGAAAGATATGAAAATATCACTTGAGAAGGGCATTAGCAGTTCAAGGGAGGAAAAGCAGGAGGGACCATGAAGACTTTCTGATCTTTAGCAGCTGCCAGATGGGATGAGATGAATCAGCAATCAGAAAAAAAGATAGGAGAGAGAGAGAGAAACAGCCTTTTTTATTTTGGGTGAGATGAATAAACTGCCAGCGTTCTTTGAAGTTAATCCTGATTCAATGATGTGACAGAGAAATTCATCTGAGAGAAGATATGAAGTCACTCATTCTTTATATACACAAAGAAAAACAAACTGCGTTGTATTCTCTGAATTTGAATGAACTCGTGCAGTTTATGTAGGCTAATAAATGCAATACCGTTCCCATGCGTTGTTGTCCCATATTCACTGGTCTGCTTTTAGGATGTGAGAGCCGGCTGAGTGATCCACTCGGTCTCCGCGGCGCTCCCAGGCAGCCCTGCCGGCTCAGCTGGAGCGCTCGGCGGTCATGATTCTCCCGGGAGTCCGTGCTCCGCGCACTAACTTCCTGTTCACAGACCAAAGCAGGCTTTACTCTACCAAAAACTCTACTAGTCATGGTAGATTTATGAACTATGAAGGACACTAAAGTTGTGTTGAAATATTGAAATATCACCGGAGCGAATAATCCGAGTTAATAAATTATAGTGTAAAAACATTTCTACAAAGACGCCAGACGTAGGCTCCACGCCTCCTTAACCTGCGACCTCCGTTGCCCATGGTAACGGCCTCAAGCAAACAAGGACGTAAAAGTTTCACTCCTTGGCCAGAGGTATGTGGACACTCCGACCTTTGAGTGCAGTGTGAATCCCCAGATCAGCTGAAATGTCTATTAAGCTGTCAACATTTGAGGTCCTTATTTGGCTAATTTATAATACATCAAAATTCGTGGTTGCTAGTCGAGAGCCAATTAAATAGCCTACAGATTGAGATTTATACACTGAGGGATTAAACAGGTGGATGGCAGTGTGATTAGTATCCTGATATATTAATGTGACAGACCAATGCCTATTTATATGGTCATTTTACAATGGTTCATTTTAGTTTTAAATTCATTTACAATTTAATACATTTAACTACAGTAGGCCTATGTGATTTAAAGGTACCTTAACCACACCAAATTACATTAATTCCACCAGTCAAAAGCCTAATGTTAAGATGGCAGCTAGAGCTCTTCTAAATTAAGCTAGTCAAAATGTCAAAATGTGAGATTCAAGCCTTACCTAATGCTGTGACTCTATTTTGCCCTGGTAGGGCAGTATAAGGCAACGGGCCTCAGCTTGTACCACCCATGTTTGAGGCTTTTGCATAGACAATGGGTAATTATCATTACAAAAAAATATTAAATGTCTAGTCAATGACTGTGCTTTTAGCTGTTCTGGCATTTCAAAATCTTGGAGTTGGTCGTAACACCCATTGTTATGGTCTAGGATGCTGGTGCATTAGTACATATAACCATTAAGTGTGGAGATGGGTAAAACTCACATTTGAGAAAGTTTCATCTTTCATATCCATAGTTTTGCCAATTTTTATTTCCGCCTTCCAGACTACTTTTGAAGAATAGCATGAATATCTTGGTGCACTGTGGGCATACGCGCCTTTATTGTGAACAGGATGGAAGTTTCTATTAATGGTTGAAACAGAGGAACCAATTTTTCAGGCAACAGAAGCAGTAGCAGAGAATCCCAGTTTAACCTCTCACAGCATATCCTACAGACAGAAACGGCGGTTGAGGCATCACACAAAGTGTCAGAAACATCTGTTCAATCTGTTTTGTGCTCCAGTGGACAGTATGCCAAGATCTCAGGGCATAAAGTTTTAAAAATGAAACACTGACAAGTCTGTCACACTTGATAAAAGAGAGAACAATAATAATCCTGTTGAAACTGCAAAGTGAAAGAAAAATGAAGTGGAAGTGAGTTTTGTATACTCAGTACACACACATGCCACTGAAACGTTTCAGATAACACACACACAAACACACACACAAAGCATTTTGTGTCCTTCTCAGCCTCTAGAGGTATTTCATGCTCCAGACAAACCACTGCCACTGTGTGGCCTTTGAGGAGTGAAACACAGGGGGAAGAGACAGTATCACTGGCTCATGACAAGACTGAGCAGCCCAGTCACCACTGGCAGAATAGAGTTCACTGGGATGTGAGAAGAACAGGTCTTCAGGCAACAGATGCAACAGTTCAAACACAAACTAGCCTCGACCAACTGCTCGCTATTTGCCATCGTGCCCTTAAAAGTTATAAATACAAATAATTAGTCTGCCGCCTTCTTCAAGCCAGCAAGAGGTAACGGCCTCCCTTCCACACCCATCACCCCATGCCCACACACCCTTCTCATGGGATCGGCATGAGTGCTTAATAAGTGCTAAAACAGACAGGAGCACTATATAAAGCCCCTCAGAGATTTCTCTGTCTCACCACCCTTAGCTTTGGCAAATCTTTATTTTATTCCCACACTCATTAAGGAGATTTTAATTGCTGAAATTTCAGTGAGTCAACCCCGAGAGTCCAGAAGTTACTTGCTGACTGTCATCAAAACAAAGGGCGGCCATTTTTCGTCGTTTTTTCTTTGTCGTTTTATTTCTTGAAACATGAGCGAGCAGGCCAAAACAGAGCTGTCATGTGGTGGTGAGTACGAAAGGGGTGTCCCCTGGTACCCCCTGAGAAAATGGTGGCAGTCCAGCCGGCTTTTCAATCAGGATGTTGGCTTGCCTCCTTTCCTGGAGACGTGGGACCCTCGGTGGATGGATGTGGACCGGCTCCAGAGGAGTTTGGCAGCCTGCTCCTGGCCAGGGTACATACCCACTCCGCTGTTTGTGCCCTACATCTCTGGGTCGATGCATCATCCTGGCCAGAAGATTAGTAAGGAGCACTACAAGTGGAGGGTCAGCCTGGACGTGGCTCACTTCTCCCCCTCAGAGATTTCTCTCCATGTCAGAGACGGATTCCTGGAGGTCGGAGGTACAGCACACTGGCTTACAGTTAATTAAACATTTCTAAAAGTTCACTTTATTGAGATTGCTAATTACTTTGTACACACAGGATAGTTTCTACTCCTAATGAAGTATTAATAATCTTTTCTATCTAATATTATTATCTAAATAGACTTCTCTCACAGTTCACAGAATAAACCCCCTAAAATAAAACAAGGACGGAAAGGAAGCTAAATGTAACAAAATTAGAAAGCTGCTTAAATATGTGCTTGGGGAAAAATCACAGCTCTGTGGCAGAAATTAATTTCTGTGTTGAGTGGTGTCTCTGCGTTGCTTGATTCCTCTGTGTGTCCTCACATTCTTCCCCATAAACGGTAATCCCTCCCCAGGGAAACACGAGGAGAGGCCAGACGAGCATGGATTTATTGCCAGATGTTTTACAAGGAAATACAGGTATGCAAAGTAAACACTGATATTACAGTTTAAGCTATTCTAAACATCTCTCAGCAGCCAAGAGTGCAGCACTGACATCTGTTTTTGACAGTATCCAATCTCTAAAATGCTCACTGAGCTGAAAAGTTAGATATTATGTATTATCAGTTTCAGTATTAGAAAACACTGGCACTTTGTATGTAGAGACATTGTAAACACCATCCTGTCGTTTTCAGGCTCCCAGCTGAGATTGATGCCACCAAAATTGAATCCACACTTTCTGTTGATGGTATCCTGACTGTCGAAGCTCCAGTTCCAGAAACCTCTGTTCCTGCTGCCATAATCATTCCCATAAAGGTGATCACATCTGGGAAGCTTGTTTACATTTAAATGAATAGTTTGACATTTTGGCAGATATGCTTATTTGCTTTCTGATTGATTGATGCCAATTACATACATGTCTGGTAAATGTTAAGTCTATAGCCAGGAGCTGGTAAACTTAGCTTAGCATAAAGACTGGAAACAAGGGGAAATAGCTATCCTGGTTCCCAGTACCTCTAAAGCTCACAGATTAACACACTATATCTCATTAATCCATACATTTTGCTAAAACATACAAGATATAATGTGTTGATTAGTGAGCTTTAGAGGTGAATTTTGTTATCTTTGGACGGAGCCAGTCTAGCTGTTTCCCCCTGTTTCCAGTCTTTATGCTAAGCTAAGATAACCAGCTGCTGGTTGTAGCCTTACACAGCATTTCCAGACAGACATGAGAGTGTTATCTATCTTATCAAACACTCACCAAAAAAAGCCCATTTGCCAAATGTCAAACCATTCCTTTAGAGTTCCTGAAGTTCTGAACAATATCTGCTGATTGCATCCAACTCAATTCTCTTTTGAGTTTCCACTTATGAAAGGACTGGCATACAAATTCAGTATTGAGGTGGGGTATGAAAATGGAGCTAGTGAACCTTTAATCATAACCATTCATTTCATTTCACTGCTCACATCTTCGACATATGCACAAATGCAGGTGGAGATGGAGGTGGCTGGAGAGAAAGAGGAGAAAGAAGAAGCCCCTGATACAGAGCCAGATAGCAGTAGAGCAACTGAGGCCCCAGACTTCCCGTCTGCAGAGGATAAAGGGGAAGAGACTCCACTAGAAGTCCATGATGATCAGGCCCACCCTGGCAGCGCCACAGCTGGGCTTCAACAGCATGAAGAGAGGAGGGAACAGGAGGAGGAGACTCATGAAAAGCCAGCTGGAGAGTCCCACCCTTCAGTGCTTGCAGATGGCGAAGGCACAGAGAGTCTTCAAGATTCTTCTAAGCACCAAGAAACCCTGGAAAGCCAAGAAAGCTCAGACACAGACATGTCCAAACAGCCGGAACACAAAGAACCAGCCGTGGATGGAGAGATCCAGGTAATGGCAGGCTCAGGGGAGGCTGCTGAGGCGATCACCCAACCCGAGGAGCCGGAGCTGGGCAAGAGTCCACTGAGTGAGGTCCCGAGCCAGGAGCTGGAGGATCCCGACATAAAACAAGAACACACTGAGTAGAAACACAAAAGTTGCCTCAATGTTGCACACACTACATATTGACCAAATACTCAAACAGCCTTCATAGCTTGCCTTGCACCAGTTTTATAGATGATTTAAGTCAGTAGATACAATAGCCATATAACCCTGCTGTCTTTGGAGCTCCAATAAAGCAATAGCATGTGAAAATGTTAAATATTGTGTGTTATTATTTCTACATGATTTGACTTCCTCTCAATCTTAGGACGAATTGTCGACGATGATCTGTGTGTGAATTTGCAACTGTTCATGAATAAGTGATCATATTCATGAGCGTCATACTCATAGTTACCTCTGAAAATACAGCATGTGAGTGCAAAATTAAAAAAGAGATTAATTACCATGCCGTTTCAGCTAAGAGGTTTTGACATCAATCAGATACTATACGTTTGCACAGCTGTGCATTAGTCACATCTACATGAGTAACTAGCCCAAGGAGAAACTGGCGTGATTCCAATAATACTGTTGCCATGGCAGCACAAGTCCACACATATCATCTAATACCAATAAATACAACAGTTTATGTCAGCTAGCACATCATACAAAGCGGCGCCTTTGCACGGCCGAAACCGTGGAGGCCTTTTGTTTCCACAGTGTGGCTCCAGTTTGGAAACTTTTTAAATTCTGATCATCCCTCTTGATTCCAATACACAGAGAAGATTACGTTATTTTGCATCACACAACATGCAATGGAACTGCCCCAATTTTTGCACTTGCACACAAAAGCTCTGGCAGCACTGCCTCCATGAGTTCAGCCCATCCTGCAGCACACAGCAGTGCCAATCTCACCCAGCACTAAGCCCTCTGCTAATCTGCTGCCCAGTTCCTTCTGTTATCTAACAATAACACCACAGGCTCCCTGGAACCCTGGAACCAGGCCTGTGAGTGGCACGGTTCTCAATAAAAGACACAGATGTTAAGACACACTGGGAGATTGGCTGGACATTTTTATTACATCAGCCAATACAAAGACATCAACAGAAAAGAAAGCAGGAAACAAACGTCTTTGGCATACAAGTCAGTCAGTTCACTCCAACAATCATGCAGCCATCTTCCTGAATACTCAAATAGAAAAGAAAAATGCAAACCATATTGAAAAAACCTGGAACACTTCAGATTAATATTTATAATGAATTGGCACATATTAAAGTATATTTACAATACACTTTGGTAGAATACAGTATTAATGCACACAATTCACCCTCTAACAAAGCCATAAAAGGTAACTTACTTTTGTTTCTTGTCAGTTTAAGTGACATTCATTAACTCAAAAAAGAAACAACTGTGGAACTGACGGAAGTCAAGGCACTCAAGTAAATAAAGGCACTTTTGTCATCCTTTTAAAAACCAAATAAATCACATACAATATGTTTGATGCAAAGACTATTCCACTAAATGAACTGCATGTTAATATAAATACAAATATAAATTTGATCTTGAGAAGTTCACATAATATATATATTATTATATTACTGGTTATTGAGAATGCTATGACTTATAATGCATGAGTGGCCAAACAGCTCCTACATAATCTAAAGATGCATCCATATATTAGATTAAGGCTGCCCAAGACAAGTTAACACAACGACGGCTCCATAAACTGTAGCTCTTTGAACTTTTATGATTTTCCCAAAAATCTAACCTTACCATTACAGTCGAGTCACAACAATCTTTAAAAATCCAGAAGGTCGTTTAAAAACACTTTACTGCTGTTGTGAAGATATTTCTAAATTCTTCAAAGACTCTTCATATCATGTGGAAGAAAAAAATGTCCATCTTCTGCACCAAGAAGATATATTTTTTATCTTTTTGTTTGTTTCAAATTGTACAAATCGAGTAAGACGATGTGTGACTTCTGGCTACAATTTTTGTTTGAATTAGAAATTTGGAAATCAGAGTTGCAACAATGGAAACAGCTTAAGGTGTATTTTTTATCATGCAGCAGACAGAATAGTTTGTCATCCAAATGTCATTAACAGTCTTCAAGGATTCTGGAAATGGCTTCAGAACAGCAGTAAGAGTTGGTAAACAATAAAAAATATCGCCAGGTACTTATTTTTCATAAAATTGGATGCTTAACTGTGTGACTGAAATGTAATAGTATGGCTCTTCAGAATTCTGCGTGTGTACTTAACAGTTATGCCTTGTGCAGCTTCATCAAACAGGACATACCTATTTTCCTTTTCCACATTTTAATTCCATATGTTAACAACATGAAGCTGAAGGCCACACATTTGCTATCAAACTTGTAATCGACTGTGCAGGATGATTTGTTATGTTAGACCATAGGGGCCTCTTGGGGCTTGGGAGCCTCCACCTCCAGTGTTTCACCACTCTGGGAGCCGTCGTTGCTGAAGAGGTAATACGGAGGCGTCTGCCGAGCTTCAATAATGAGGACGCCCTCGGGGGACAAGGAGGCGAAGACAGTCAGAGGGTCCACATCTATTGGGATCCTGAGGAAAAAAAGCAGAGGTGGGAAAGAGATTATGGTCTGAATGCTTTTTTTATGCAAGGATAGAAGTTTAGATGTTAAGAGTAGCAGAAGTTTACTTGGTGAAAAATCTGTAAGCTGCTGTGTGTGTTCAGCATGTTTAAAGGCACGAGTGGAAGGAACAAAATAAGGAGAGTGGCAAGGAGAAAAAGAAAAGTTCACTTCCCATTTGGAGGTTGTGCAAAACTCAGTGACATTTTCCTCCATAACAGCTGCTGTAAAACATTGTTAAATGCTGGGATATTTTATTGACACTTTGTCAATGCCCATAAACAGCCTGTTGGCAGGATATTTTAATGTTGTACGTCCACGGTAGAAACAGAAAATGACTTGGCTCATTGGATATTGACTGTTTAATTAAAAATGTTCAACCTGTCTTCTGTGGATATACTCACAAAAATCTCACTACTATAGAGATCAACTGAGAGCCATCAGGAGTTTTCATTAAAAAACTTCAGCTCTGTGACAAAGAGGAAGGAGAAAAAACACACGGTGGATCCAGGTGCAAAAATGAAACCGGATTCCAATTAATGAGAGTGTCTGTACACCTATAAATTTCTATTGGTGTATACTTTCCTAACCTGCTGCTCACATCTGTCATAGGCAACAGCTAATTGTGTCAGGCATTTTTTTTTACCTCTTCGCTTCATTATTTGACACTTCTCATGTTGAAAATGTTATGTTTTCCAGAGCAGAGTGGGATAATTGGCTCCCAACACTTGCAGGAGGATACAAAGCACTGATGGAAAAATCCGGCAGAACTGCAGCATGTAAAGGGTTTACTTCCATAAAGCTGTATTTACACTTCAACAGTAGGAACAAATCTATTGAATGATCTTAAATTATCAAACTGATTATTATTTAGTTATTACGTTCATTTCAAGTCTATTTTCAAATAATACATTTCCCTTTGGAATGAAAGTCATTCAAAACCTGCTGCAGACGCAAACAGACAGCGACCCAGGCAAACTCTGTTCTTTGTCAGACATTGTGGCCAAATATGGGTATTGTAGGTTTTCTGTGAGAGCAGCCAAGTGTCTTTGGGAGTTAATATAAACATCAGGCTGCCCTGTTCAGAGGAGGAGACTGTGGATTTACCCTCCATTTAATTAGAGAGGACCCTCTACTGGTTTCCCACTCCACTGAGAAATACAAGTCAGAAGGGAACGGAAAACTTCACCCAACAGAAGCAGACAGACAGACAGGGAGGTCAAGTCAGGTCTATTTGTGTAGCCAAATATCACATACAGTGAGACTCAGGTCCACTTCAGCAATAGCCTCCAGACCCAGCCCAGGTTCACAAAGAAGATGAGAAAACAGTCCCCAGAAAGAAGGAACAATTGTATTAAACTTGTGACAGAAAAATCATATAGACATCCCCCTTTCATAAATGGCTATGGATGCAATATGGGACCCATTGGTGGGAAAAAGTCAATTACAAAAAATAAAGGGAAAAAATAAAGAGAGACTCCAACAGTAGGATTATAGTAAATCCAATTTAGATAGAACAAGACCAATGCTTTGTGTCCAAAGAGATAAGATGCAGGAAGTAGGTCACTGGAAATGTCTTCACATTGTTCCAAGGCCAAGGGCAGTCAGGTAAGTGTGGTTGGGTGCGGGGTAAGTGGATGGGGCAGCTGGGAGCGGGGAAGGGTAGCTTAAAAGATGGAGGAAGCTCAGAGGTTTGAAGACAAACACTAATATAGATCTCATATAGAATACTTTCATACAAGTCAGTCAACAGTCAAATTCATCAAAAATACCATCAAATCAAAAGTAAAGCTGAGGCTGATGGTGATATCATGCATGTATTTGGTTGTAAACTAAAGTATATTGTATAATAATAATAATAATAATAATAATAATAATAATAATATGATGGTGGTACTATAGAGGAAAAGTCAGGGGATCACCAAAATTATTAGGATTCACCCTCTGGGGACCATGCATGTTGATCTATTCATTGTTTGTTGAGATATTTCAGTCTGGACCAAAGTCGTGGACTGGCTGACTGACTTTGCCATCCACAGAGCCATGAATAGCATGATAATAATAATTCAATCTACTGCTCAGTGCACTATATACTCTGTCAATATATTTAGGATAAATTAATTTAAAGCTAGCATTTAAAGTTTGTGTAAGCCAGTTTTTATCTTGAATTTTTTTTTAATCAATTCCAAGCTCTAACCACGCACCCCCATGCACACACAAGCCTACACATGTGTCAGTATCTATGCCCCCCACATTCCTTCAAGAAGCCAATTGCTGCGATGCAAAGTTGCCCCTTCTGACAAAGTCAAATCACTCAGCCGACCCATTACGTGGGACTCCGGCAGAAATCTTATCTGTCTAGCTCTGGGAGTTTATTTACCTCTGGCAAGCATGCATTTTATCTCACACATTGATTTTGTACAGCTGCCAAAAACCTGTCCAATATGCTTTCCCCCCACAGAGATACTGAGGCAGAGAGAGACAAGGCAGTGAGGCAGTACAAGGTGAGTGTGTGTGCATGGAGTGTGTGTAGTGTGTAAAACATATAATACATATGCTCCCTCC